ATTAGCAACCTCTTAAACTTTATGGTCTTTTAATTGAAATGCCAAAAAATACAATATATATATTCTTTATTATTCCGCTACACATTCATTAAAAAAGTTTCCGGGACAAGAGTAACACGTTCCGAGTTACAAAAGTTTTTCGATTGTCAAAAACTATAAGAAAAGGCCAACCAACCGCAAAAAAGAAAGCCGCACAAAAAAGTTACCGACTCCTGGTTGTGACTCCGGCCCGGAAGCTGGCTTTGCATTCGTTCTGAAATAAACAAACTTACCTAAAAATAAAATAAAATCAAATAGAGCCGGGAGAAATCAAAACAAGTCTCTGAAAAATGAAATCAAAGCGAAACTGGTTTCTATAAAAGTTTGACAGTTGCTGCCAAAGAAAGGGAGTTGAGATTGCAAATTAAAACAATGTCTGCATTGGAGTTCCAGATTTCTGCAGATCCGGCAGCAATTTGCAGTGTCCGCGCGCGCTGATTAAACTCCAGTGGGGTCGTGGGCGGCAGATTCTCCATTTTCTTCTTCGTTTCCAGTAAATCTTTCATCAGTCCCAGTGCTTTTCATTTTTCCCCGCTTTTCATTTTGCCAGCGCCTCCCACGGCCCACCCACAGCGGGCTGACGGTCACAGCTGCCTTGGCAATTTGTCCCCGTCCTTTGGCCCCCAGCTTTGTACTCGCATCCACACACTTGTCATACTATTTATGAGTTTATTATTTTTCCGCTACTCTATTATTTAACCAGCTCCCTGCCACTCACCCCGTGAACCCGATCCGGATCCCAATCCCCTTTTCTCTTTCACTTCCAAGCCAAATCCTTTCGCCGGCGCTTAAAACTTTCTTTCACTGCAACTGCTGCAATTTTTCACAACTTTGTGAGAAACATTTTTTCAACACTCCTCAACATCCCGGGGCTTGGGGCTTTCTCCTCACCCCATGCGTTTATGGTTGGGGGTTTATTTATTTAGTGGTTTTTGTTCCATACTCTCTTGAAGAAGTTGACATATTTTTAAAAAGAATTGATTGTTCTTGGCACATGGTTTTTAGAAATATTCTTTTGGAAATACTTTAAAGACTCCCTCTTTCTTTCTTTTGGAAGGAGGTAGGTATGCCTCTATAAAGCCCCTCTTGAAAGAGCATTTAAAAAACTTCTATCAAATAATAACTTTCATTTTATTTTGCTTGCTTTTCAGCTGAATATTTTTGTTTTTATCTCCTCTCTTTACAGTTGCTTAAATTGTTTGTAATTTTGTCAGATGCGCTTGTTTCTGTGTGTTTTTCGGTTTCATTATGACAGCAGACTACGACGACGACGACGAACTGCCTCGGAGTTTGCTCCTCATGTTGTTTTTAATCTTTTTGCTTTGGTGGCGTTTATGTTGGCTATACTATATATGTACATAGATAGATAGTTTTTCTGTCCTTCTCAGTGGGTGGGTTTTAATTATAGCCAAGTTGCAACCGCAAATGGAAAATTCCTCAAAAATTATATGAAAATTGGTTTCAAAATTGTTAAATTATTGTTACCCGGTACTTGAAGAGTACAGGGGTAGTTTGCATTTCGACGAATTTTGGTAGAGGAGAGGATATTGATCTCCCAACCCATAAAGTTTATGTATGTTTTCAATCAACATTAACAACTGAAATTATATAGCCATGCCCGTATGTACTATGTATAATAGATCTCAGATACTATAAGATTGGAGCCATAAGAATGGAGGTTCCTCGAAGCACTCTATCGAATGGGGCAATTTATAAAGAACTTATAGACATAATATTCTCCATCCCCGGTGACACCTAAAAGTAGGCAACAAAAGTAAGTACCGGGTATTTCATAGTCGAGAAACTTGACAAAAAGCCATCCCTTTTTGTTTCTATTTTTTGTTAAAGAGCCCGGACAATTGGTCTAATGGCTTTGTGATTACATTTGCATATAACTGGATGGTAAATCCCAGAAAATTGTAAGTGCCTCTATGCATTTTTAATGGTAAACTAAAAGTACCAACAAAGATTGTGTTTCAGAGTCAAAAGTTTTTTCAATGCTTTTATTTATCATTCATGCCACACAGTGCTGGCAATCGAAACATCAGAAAACGCATCGAACACACCAAGGACAATGTTCAAACAGAATGCAAGTTTGTAAGCTCTCCGGGCAATCTTTTAGATTTCCCCACAAAATTTAGCAGGGAGACAAGTTTTTGCCAACTTTCCAAGATGCCCACAGACCCGGGCGAGATTTAGACTCGAGTACTTACCACTCATATGCATAAAATGTGCAACAGACAGTGGCAGCCCGTGGCGGAGCACTTATTTTATTGACTCGCCGGCGAATCCCCACCGGAGACAGTTGCAGATACACAGTCGGAGATACAATTCCGGCACCTGGAAAACACTCGTCGTCTCCCAAGTTGATAATTTCACAAGTTTTCCTTTTGCCCTCTGACTTACAAACTGATTTGCATACCCGGGTATCCTCCCAAAAAAGTCGAAAATAGACGATAAATGGTTCTAAAGTTCTCTGGCACTGCACACAGGCATTTTGATTCAGATTGTTGGGCCATTTTTGGAAAACTCCTCTTTTTCGCCGGTTTGGATAGCAATTTTGCATTAATTTTGTTTTGATTCCCCTCGCGTACAGGCCATACCCTACCGCCCCCCAGAAGTCCTTCAGTCTGCCCTTAATATTTCATATTTCATTGGGAAAATTAAATTCTTGGAATATTTTTTTTGCTTCAACAAACAGGGAACAGACCGCAGCCAAATCAGTGGAAAAACCAGCCGGCACACCAGTCCGGAGACTGGGAGGCCAAGACCCAAAATATTGGACAGCAACAGCTGCCGGGGGTCGGCTGCTAGTATTTCGCTAGGAAAACATAAATAATTTCCATCTCTGGATTCTCAGTCTGGTTTTTAGCATGACAAGCATTTGCGTGTTATTGAACAATCGCTGGAGAAATCTAAAAAAAATATAGGGAGTCCTAAAATGTAACTGGAAGAAAGCATGCTTACCTTTAATATCATATCCTTTACAAACCATTTGAGGGTTTTAAATTTAGGTTATAATTAATAAAAACGTTTAATATCTTAAAGAACTGAAAACAAAGGTTAAGAACAGAAGGTTAAGATACTTAATGGAACTCAAATATTTGTCTAGCCATGTCTGGAATATTTTTCTTTTCTGAAACCCCTCATCCAAAATAAAAGACACTGTATCTTTCCTATTTTCCCCAGCACTGGCTCATATTTCAGATGATCTTTACAGCCATCCATCCATAACCTTTTGGCTTGGTCCTTATCACAGAGTGGCATACACCACTTATCAGGCGTATTCGAGTCTCCGGTGTTATCTCTGCTCTTCATGCAATCAATCAACTAGCATCGCTTGAAGGGCAACACTGTTTCTGGTTCTGGGTCGGGTCGGATCTGGTGCTCGTCCTCTGGTTACGGTTACGGTTACGGTTGTGCTGTTTATTTTACTACAAAATAAATACACGCCTCACAGCGGGCGGTCGGCGGCTGTGGGAGGTTGACTGTGGATGTGACAGGGCGGAGGGAAATAAATAATATAAAGTCCAAACTGATAACCAAAACATCAGCGGGAGCAGCAGAGCCGCATCAACAGCGTCGGACGACAGTTGACAGTATGAAATCGAAATCAAATCAAAATAAAAAGGTCAAATTTAAGTCAGCCCTCACCGAACCTTCAATACCCTCTCTCAGTAGTTTGGGGATCATAGGAGTATCCTTTTCGAAAGAAGGCCACATGCGTGAGGGTGAGGGTGTTCGTTGGAGAAAAGCCCCCTTCCAATCCACGTCATGCAAATCCATTTATGTCGGAGACAAGCCAGCGGGAGCCTTTTGGCCTTTTCGGCCAGTCCATCCAGCCCCGGCCAACGATAACACGACCTGACAGCCATTAGGAACGGACTGCAGCGGCGGCGATTCTGATTCTGATTCTGTTTCTGATTGTGTTGGCATGCGTGTGATATACGCGCGACGATTTCATTCATGCCCCAGCATCGACATCACCGTCAGCATCAGCATCAGCTTCTGAATCAAAATCGGTAGAAATATCAGCCTCAGCTGAGGGTTTAGCTTCCAGCTTTGTCTCTGCCACTGGCTTCCAGCCACATACGTATTCGGATTCATACACTACGCATTTTGAAAACAGAGAAGATTGCCGATGGAAAAAAAAGGCACAGCAACTGTCTGTGTTATCTGCTGCTAGGGTGACATCATACACTGGAATAAAATAGGAAATTAAATAGTTTAAAATTGAAAAAGGTTAAATAAGGAAATTTTAATAATATTATGGATCAATTTTAGGCTTAAGACTCTATAAACTATAAGTCACTGAAAAAGTTAACTAGGTTTCATTAAAAAGGATCTGTTATAGATGGGTTTCTTTTAACTTTGCTTGTAAGAAATTGTTAAAATGTATATTTCATAATATGTAAAATACTTAAAACAGGTATTTATAATTTGTTTTTCTTTAAATTTAACAAAGGTTCAAAATAAAGTTCCTTAAAAACAGTATGGACTTCTAAAAAAGGGGCTTGTACTAACATTTATTTTCATCCTTAAATATAGACCTTTTTTTTGAATCTGTAACTTAAATGAAGTTCTTCTCTATGAAGTTTATTAACTAACTAACTAGATTTAAGACTAATTTTAGTTTTAGAACCTGTATTAAATTATTTTCAAATTTATATGTATTATATCAAATATGTTTCAGAAAATCCCTTGCAAAGATTAAATATTAAAACCTTTCTCATTCAAGGAAAGAAACTTGTTAAAACAACTCCTAATTTTCCCCAGTGCATTCGGGGCTTACAGGCTAGGCTTAAGAGTGTGTCTGTGTGTGTGTGATGCAGTAAGTGTGTGGGTTGTCGATAGTCGGCGCAGCCCGAGAGCCTGCGAACTGGCAACGAGCGGAAAACGAGCGGAGTCAGCATCAGCAGTAAAGGCAGCACCAGCAGCAGCAGCATCAGAAGCAAGCAAGACAAGAATCAAACGCCTCATTCGTGTTTGCCGCTTCGTGGGCAACGGACGCATCCTCAGAGCTCAATTGGAGTGACGGGCTTGAGATACGGAAACGGAAACGCAATCGAGAGCGAACGAGTGCCTGTTGAAAGTGTTTTGGCGGCGCGTTCGAACCGGAAGTAAGGATATATTCACAGTTATTCGACTTGGTTGCCATCCTGTTGCGCCGTCGCATTTCTTTTTGCATCTTCTGCGTGTGTGTGAGTTATTTTAATGGCTGGGTTTTCCGGTCTATGAGTGTGTGAGTGTGTGTGCTGGGGTGCCTAACGTACCGGAAGTAAGCCCGAAACTCATTAATGTGTTCACTTTTTGCTGCCCAAAGTGCACTGAAATGCAGTAATATGAAGTGCAGAAAATATGATTATGTTGCGGAAATCTAAATGTAGTGGAAAATATGCTAAATTATAGCTGGAAATTCATTCCGAAAATAACCTCAAAACTGTGAAAACCCGTGTGCCACATGTTCGATCGCATACGTGTTAAAATCGGCATTAAATTCCGAATCAGTCGCTCACTCAGATAAGATCAGGTCAAAAGTTCAATACTAAACGAGAGCGATTAGCCGTAGTCATTCATCCGATGTCGGGTCTTATAAATAAAGTGTGTGTGCCAGTGATAAGCAACTGTCGTTCGGGCTAGAGCTGAGAAAGCCTCTCTTTCGGAATGTTTTTTGATTAAAAAATAGAATGCAAAACAGATCTACTATCAGTTAAATACAAATTTATAAAAATAATACATGATTATACATATAAAGTGAAACTAAAATGAAACTTTGTGCTTCCGGAAGTGATTTTTGAAATACAACACACAAACAAGGATATTTCTAGACGTTTGTACGATTGGCCTGTTAATGTCACTAAGCCACTTTTATAAAATAATAACACATATAGAGATATATTGTAATACTGTTTACTAGACAGAAACGTGCCAGTGCATCTTACAGATAACAGGACACTGATAACAGATTCTAGAATGGAATCAGCAACTTTATTCGTCAAACCTCATATAATTTCGCAGCTAAGTGAAAAAATACATCATATTTCATTGAAACTTTGAAAGGAAATCAGAGATCATAAGTTTAAAATAGTATTTATTATATTTAATTAATTGCTAAGAATGTTACTCAAATATACGCTTCATTATAAGCTTTAATAATAATCTATTTACAAATACATCTTATTACTTTTACATCCTTGTTGCAACTGATTCCAAAACTAAACTCCCAAGCCCTTGGAGGACTTATTGTTTCTATTTTTGCACCTTATGGTGAATGCTACCAGCTTTCCTGCTAACTTCCACACACAAAGCACAAGACCTAGTGCCTTGACAGATTCTGACAGAACAGGTGAAAGGATTATGGCTCCGCCGACACACTCTTCTCATATGTCACCACGACTGTCAGCTGTCCTGGAAGTGCATTAGTAAGTGGGGGTTAAGGAGCGGGTCGCCTTTAACTTTCCCACCCACCGGCGGCTGTCCACTTGTTGGTCGCCACTTAGCCCCAAATCGGCCGAAAAATGTCACAAGGACAGTTGACATCAATCTGCCGGGACAGAGGTGAGCAGGAAAGCTGGTCCTGCATATGTATGGGCCGTAAACATGCTAAGCCACCAGGATTAGCCAGGACCCAGAAGCAGAGCTGTGACAACATCAAGGAAACAGACTAGTTTCAAGATGTAAAGGGAGACGAGAAACTAGATAAATAGAAGAGTGCAAATACTTACTTAAGGCTTCATTATGACCTGCATAAATCCCATCTGGGCCAAGGAAGAAACATCGTCAAAGCAACACGTGCATTCCGCTTTCAATTAGAACCCATATAAGAAACACGTCGAGGGGGAAACCGCCGAAAAGGAGCTTAAATAGAAGGCACCTGAATTCTAGGAAACTAGTTCCCTTGCTGGTCTCTCGAACCGTCCCTACCATAATTTTTTTAATTACAAAGCCATAAAAATTAAACGAAGCAAAAGTGCGGCGACGTAGGCGACTACGAGGAAGGACTAAGTAGCCAAACGACAGGAGCCACAACAGCCAACCAGGATAAAAACGTAGAAGCAGTAGGTGGCAGGAGCAAGGGAGCAAGTGGCGAAACAGTAGAGAACGGCAACGATTTAAGCCACATAAAACCAACAAACAGTCGGGCTCCAGGCAGCCAGACAAACTGTCGAGGGTGGTGGGATGGTAGGAGTGGAAGCATTTAATGCCAACTGCTTGGCAACACCTTCCTTATCCTTCATCCAGGACTTGTGGCCCGGCGACGGGAATGGGAAATGGTAGATGCCTGCACTTGACTGCAACTCGCTCGCCCACTGTCGTGGCAGGGAAGGGAGAGGAGATTTTTTGTTCAACGTTTAAACCAAATTTGCATAATAGTTCTTCTTTTGAGGGAGCAACTGGCATCAAAATCTAAGTGAGCATTGCCAAATTATGCAAATGTTTGCGAACTGAAAGCGAGCGAATTCCGCCCAAAACAGCTGCAATGCCAGCCGTACAACGGTGCGTATGCGTATTGATTTGAGCAGTTTGTAAACGAGAATGGAAATGAGTTTCTGGCTTCCCCTTCCCACCATAAACAAGCCTTAAAGCTTACTAATCTTACCACTTAAAGTGTCTAGCATTGAAGAGGGATATCACTTTCTTACAATAAACTGACTACTTAAATGTATTTATGGCACTTCTCTTGTTAGATCTTACGAAGGAATTCAAGTTTTTCCCCTACAAGACCTCATAATAAAGAAAAATAGGGTACAACTAGCACAATATCCAATATTCTCTTCAAAATTATTGTCCCTGGGTGGAAAGCTACCTTTACCCTCATTTATTATCTTGTTTCTGGCTCTCACCTGCAGCAATTTGACAGGAACACATACCCTAAAAAATCCTTTTTTCCAATAATTTCCCGCTTGGTTCGCCCCATTTTCCAACCCATCGTTGCTCAATTTCCACTTTTTCACACCTGCTTTTGCCAGTTCTCAGTTTACAGATGAAAATCACGCCTCTGGCAATTTTAGTCTCGTTTATTAGCCATTTTTCAAGTGATACACATAATTTTCAATTTTCCAATTTCTCACCCAGCACACCAACCGATTCGATTCTCACCTGCCTGACTGCCTCCGACTCTGTGAGAGTCTGGGCCCACCTTGCTTTCCACCTTCATAGGTCTGCCAGCAACTATTGTCTTTTATCGAACATGAAAAAATGCATTGCATATTGCATGCACGTCGACGAGGCAGCAGGAGGCAATGGACAAACATGGCGCCCCATTTGGAGGCCATTAGGGCCAGTTGGACCGGTTGGACGGGGAGCAGCAAAAACAAAATGGTGTTACAAAGCCAACAACAAGGCAGAGCATAGCTTGATGGCGCTCAGGTGGCAAGGAGGCTTCAAAAAAGTGAGGAGGTATTTAGGATCAGGAATTCGAATGGGGTGTACCTAGTACTGGTATAGGTTTAGAGAGGTATACACTCTATCCCCTGATTTCTTATAGCCCTTGTTAGATGTGATTAACAGGGTATAACTATTCCCGCTGAAAAACCCTATAGAAGTCAGAGTCTTATTGCCTCCGGGTCTTTAATTTTTTTCCTCCTTTTTTCGGGAGGGGGAAACGGCAACAAACTGCTCTGCCTTTATGCAACGACTGCGTGCTTCCGTTGTCATCGTTTCCTGTTCCTTTGCCGCTTTTGTAGCTGCTGTTCCTGCCGTTTCCGTGGCCTCGCCTGCTGTTGCATGCCACGCACTCCAAATTTTCGAATAAACGCATTGGAATAGTCCTTGTAATAAAGGAGGAGTAGCATTTTCTTTTTTTTTCCATTTTTTTTTTTTAGAGTCAGCTCCAATTTAGTTTGCAACTCCTCAAGCTCGATGTTTCCTTTCGGTGCATGGGGAAGTTTCTTTTCTACTTTGTTATTAGATTTGCATGCCAGTAGCAACGACAACGATGACGACGACGACGATGAGAATTTCCGCCTCGCAATTCATGTGGAACATATGGATATGGAAGTGCGTGTGTGGGCGTTTGTAACCCCTCAACTACGCCCCATGACCTTTTGCAAAGGTGTGAGTCCTAACCCTTCTTCACGTCGGAAAGTTGTTGCAACAAACGTAATTGCATTTACTTTGGAATTTATGTTAGTGCAAATTTTTACAGTTTTTCCCCTTCTTTATAGTTGAGGAAGAAAAAAGGATAATACTCAAAATAAAACTTAAAATATTCGGAAAGGATAATTTTCGAGTGGGTTATGTTATTTGAAAAAATAGCATTTTTAATATAAACTATGTATATCTTGCAGAAATTTTTTTTATTTTATGAAATCGACTTCTCTGGGTGTGCCTGGGACCTGGTAACAATCTGGTAAAATTCTTTTACTGCCCTTTCACCTTAGAGCCTCCCGAGTTCACTTTGCTGCTATTCCTGCTCTCGTTCTACAAAACTCAACTGCAACTTCACCTTCACTTGAAAATTGCATTTTTACCAAAATGTTTGCCTGGGAAATGTTCTATGAGAGGTGCCCAGGGAGGTGTGAGTGTTTGAGTGTGTGTTTGGGGTGTGTAAGGAGGGTGGTGGTTGGGTGTTGAGGGGGGGAAATATGAAAACAAATGGCTCCTGAGTTTCTCTGGCTTTGGCCAAGAGAACGTAAGTTTTGTTTGCTCGAAGTAGAAAGGGGAACTTGAATTTATGTGCACTCTGGGCTGTTATGGCTCTTCCTTTGGTATTTTTTTGATTTGGGGTCTTATTGGATGTTGGACGTACCAGGGATGTGAAAGCTGGGAAAGCTGGTACTGTAGCAGCTCAAAGACTTAGCCAAAAAGTGCAGTTGAAATCATCAAAGAGCATGCCGCGTAAATCCCATTTCCATTATTATTATTCCGGCAAATCGTTGTCAAATTATATGCTTGTATGCCCGATGTATTTCAGCTTCTCCTATTTGAGAACCAAGCTCCCACTAGTCCAAGCACTCGCGGAAGTTAAGCGGCTTATCGCTTATCAGCTTTGTCTGCTTTGCATGGAAAAATGTCAGAAGGAGACACTGAGAAAAAACCAATTTAACTTTTTATTAAAAACTATTTCCTCTATAAGGTTAAAACTTTATAAAAGCAATCTCCATTCGGGATAAAACCCATTTATTAAACAAACAATTTCAAATCAACATTCGATGGTTTATTTTTTCACCTTTGTGTGTGTGGGAGTGGTTGTGGGTTGGCAGTGGCATGACCTGTGGGGTCACAGGATGGCCGCTGACAGCAGCTCCTGCCTGGGTGTAGTGCATACAAGTTTGCATTGTCCTGAATTTTCGTGGCAGTTGGCTTGCTAATCTCGATGCAACGTTGGGAAGCCCTAATTGATAAGCTCTGACTAAACCTATTTGGGTTGGAAACTTTACACTTAAATTTCATCAAAAAAGAGCAGCAAAAAGGTGTGCTTATCTCCCAAAAATTTTAATTAATCTGGTGTTTAATCTGTGAGAGCCAAAACAAGAGTGATAAGTCCTTAAAAACAAGAGAGATAAATTCGGGCGCAGTTGAAATTGATACACCCTTGAAATTAAAAAACGATTTCTGGATCGATTCTCCACCATTCTGCATCAAAATCCTGAGAAGAAATATTTTTTAGATTTTTTGTCCATTTTTCCTGATGGGGATCCCTCGAAAATGGGATTTTCCCCTATATGGCCCACAGTGATGGCTGTATCTTTCCCAATTCTCATCCGATTCTCAAGCGGAGTATCTTAAACGATTTCTGGATTGATTCTCCACCATTCTACATCAAAATCCTGAGACAAAATATTTTTTCGATTTTTTGTCCATTTTTCCTGATGGGGTCCCTTGAAAATGGGATTTTCCCCTATATGGGCCACAGTGATGGCTATATCTTCCACAATATTGATCCGATTCTCAAGCGGAGTATCTTAAACGATTTCTGGATCGATTCTTCACCATTCTGCACCAAAATCCTGAGACAAAATATTTTTTAGATTTTTTGTCCATTTTTCGTAATGGGATCCCTTGAAAATGGGATTTAACCCTATATGGCCCACAGTGATAGCCGTATCTTTCCCAATTCTCATCCGATTCTCAAGCGGAGTACCTTAAACGATTTCTGGATCGATTATTCACCATTCTGCATCAAAATCCTGAGACAAAATATTTTTTAGATTTTTTGTCCATTTTTCGTGGGATCCCTTGAAAATGGGATTTTCCCCTATATGGGCCACAGTGATGGCTATATCTTCCACAATATTGATCCGATTCTCAAGCGAAGTACCTTAAACGATTTCTGGATCGATTCTTCACCATTCGGCATCAAAATCCTGAGGAGAAATATTTTTTAGATTTTTGTTCCATTTTTCGTGAGGGGATCCCTCGAAAATGGGATTTTCCCCTATATGGCCCACAGTGATAGCTGTATCTTCCCCAATCTTGATCCGATTCTCAAGCGGAGTATCTTAAACGATTTCTGGATCGATTCTTCACCATTCTGCATCAAAATCCTGAGACAAAATATTTTTTAGTTTTTTTGTCCATTTTTTGTGATGGAAATGGAGGGATCAAGAATATATGCACTAAATAAGGTTGCACACCTTTGACCAAAATTATAATCCCCTTTTCAAGGGTATCACAAAAGAAACCCGTCTCGAGAAAAGAGCAACGATAAAACATATAGGAAACTGCAATTTGGACCGATTGGCGTCAGCAGCGTGATTTGCAATCATTATTTACCCGAGGAGCCAGAAGCAAACGCAATTCAATCTGTGACAGCCGCACACAAGGATTCCGACAGTTCCCCGCACAGCAGGATCAGGAGCAGGAAGGCGACGAGGTAATGGGAGCAGGATACGGGGTTGGCCAAAAGGAGCCACCGATGGAAATGAACGAATTGACGGTACACGCCAAGCTGGCTAAATCCGGTGTGGGTGCAGCAGCATTAGTGGGCAGGGCGGCAGGGGGCAGCACAAGTCGAAGTCGAAGTGCAAAAAAGTGTTAAGTGCTCTCACTGTTTCTTGCAGCAATCATTGTCAGCAAGCAGTCAGAACCGCAATCAGACCACAACCATTGGTGACTGGGGGACTCAGAATGCTGCTCTCCACTGGAGAGATTTTTTTAAAATTAATTTTAAAATCATATATATTATTTCAAAAACTATTATTACTTAAGAGGATTCTATTACTTCGGTACTAAAGACCACCAATTAATTTAAAAGCTTTAAAAACTCTGTCTCTTTTTATACCCAAAAGGTAAAACTTTTAGAGAAATACTAAAAACCACATCTAATTCTCTAAAACTTTTTGTATTTTTTTCTAAACTTTCTAAACCATTGATAGAAACTGATTTCAAAACATTCCATTCAAAAACCCATGTTTTTTTGGAAAAGTGCAAATCCGACAACACTGATGCAGTAGATGCCAGTAGATTTATTTTCCGGGGCAAAGTTCAATACAGCAAAGTGCAAGGAACAAAACAACAAAAAAAAACACTTTTTGTTTTCCTCCCCGATTTCAGTTTTTTTTTTTTGTCTTTTGTTTTCGTGTGGGTTGTAGAGCTGCAGCTCTAAAATCAAATGCAAATGCAAACAACAGTTGGCATCAATCGGAGCTGTCGGGCCACGCCTCCTCGCGCCCTGCCACCCATCCAGCTCCTGCCCAGATCCCTGCACCCCACCACTTTATTGCTAGAATTAATGACGGCTGAGGGTCTGAGACTACTCCTTGGGTCTTGGTTTTGTGTGTTTTATGTGGAATCAAGTGGAAATTCAATTGATTTGCTTTGGCTTTGCATTTGGCTTCGACTTCTCACAACTGTGAGATATGGGCGCTTTGCCGAGGTGGCAAGTGGAGTGGAGTGGGAAGGCGTGGTCTTTTATAATAATGGACGGATGAATCTGGCCGGGACGGGATATGTGCGGCTTCAAAGGAAATCGCACTCATTCCTGGCAAAAAATCACTTGAGCGAGAAATCATTTTGCAAATATTACAGAACTACACAAGCGGCACCTCTTCCTGGCACATTTCCTTGGAAAGTTTCTGCCGGTGTCAGCATGTCAAAATGCTAAAGTTCATCGGTTAACTGGGTTTGTGCCATCGCCTTTGTCCAATCAAATGTAAAATACATTTAATTAAAGCCTCAAATCTGCAATTGATGTTTCCTAATGAAGTCGAACCTAACATGGATTATCATTAGATACCTCTCACCCTTGGTTTCTGTTTCTTCATTGCAGGTCTCCTCCACATGTAAGCTTGTTTAATCTTGGCCAGAAAAGCGTTGATTTCTGAAGGAGCCCAGAATGGGCGCACTAAAGCCATTGGTGGCCAGTTTGCTGCTCCTGCTCTTTGGATTTTCCGAGGCTGCGAGAGAAAGTGAGCAGGAGAAAAGTGGATATTATATTGCAACTCTTTCTACCTCTTTAATTTTCCATTTTATAGATCCCCTTAAGGACCCTAGAATTTGTGGAAGACCGCAATGTATAGCCCCCACCAATGCCAAGTTCAAGTATGGAGAGCAACTGTACAGATATGATTATTCAGTGGCCGTGCGTACAGAGTTCGCCGGATCCGGCGACAATAGCTCGGATCTGTTGCTGAAGGCCAGTCTCGAGATCTTCTTCCCCAAGCCCTGCGAGGGCTATCTGCGCATCAACGAGGCCAAGCTCTACGATAAGCTGGACGAGTTTGAAGTATCCTCGGAGGATGTCACTGAGGCCCCCAGCTACGACTATTATGACAACCTGGACAACGAAGAGTCTGGAAACAAGATTAACTTTGAAAATATGCATCCGAAAAGCATGAACTTGCACCAAGATCTCAGCAAGAACCTGTTGCGCTTCGCCTTCCACGACGGCCTCATTAGTGAGGTGTGTCCTTTGGAGGGGGACGCGCCCTGGGTTCTCAACATCAAGAAGGGCATCTTGTCGGCCTTCCAGAACACCATGATGCGCTTCGACGTGGACTCCAATCGCACGGAGACGGATGTGTCTGGTCAGTGCCAGGTGCAGTACTCCTTGGAGGCCTCTGACAGTGTCTATGTGAAGATCCGCAAGACAAAGGATATCAACTCCTGCCGTCAGCGCTATGCCACCCACTCGGTGCTCCAAACCACACCCTACACCTTCCGAGATGACAAGACCATTTGGCCGATTCTAAATTCCCAGAGTTATTGTAATGTAAGTAACTTAGCTCTTGTAAGCATTTTTAAACCTTAGAGCCAAAAAGAAAATGGCGTCCAAGTGGTGAGGATGAGGAAACAGAAAATGATTTCGATAGTTTTTATCGATAATATTTGTCACAAATAAAAATGGCGGCTTAATGGTGATGAGTAAATAGAGTTCTAGCAGCATTTATCACGAAAGCTTATTCTGAATAGACTTTAATTTGTAAATTCAATCTTTAAAACTAGTTACTTTAAGATTTTTCAATAGAAAGATTTCATAATATTAGCTCTTTACCATTTCTTAAGCCATAATACTAATAATTTACAAAGGAAGGATTAAGTTCTCCCTTTTTATATTTAAGAGACCCATTTTTAAGCTCAATTAGACTACAACTTTTAATTTATTCTAGTTAACCATCGACAACAATGTTTACCGCGAGATCAGTTGCCTGGAGACACATCTGCTGGTTCCATTCTCCAATGCGAGCTCCGGCGCCCTAACCACCAGTCGCAGTAAGTTGGAACTCAAGGGCGAGGAGTCCTACAGTAGCAACGAGTTCCTAGAGCAAAGTAAGTGAACCCAACATTGCCCTGGAATGTATCTAATCGGATATATATTTATACAGATCCCGAGCTGGTAGATCGCCGTGCCACATTGATCTTCGATCATACGCCCGCGGTGAAGCCAACTCATGGAGAAATAAAGGCTGCCCGAGACTTGCTAGTAGAGATGTGTGCCGTCGGCTTCCCAAACATTAAAAGGGAGTTCATTGATGTGTTCACAAACTTCCTCCAGACTGCCAAGAGCCTCGACTACAAGACCCTGTCCACGCTTCTCCAGAGATCTGCTAGCACCTGTCCCCAAGGAAGGTTGGTATTATATCGAATTTCTTTAAATGTTTAACCCTAATGTCTAAATTAATAGGAACCATGTTCTGGAGTCCCTTCCCTATATCGGAAGCACTGCCTCCTACAAGGTGATGCGGGATCAGATAGTGGACGCCAAGGTGACGAAGGAAATGGCCCACAGCTGGATGACCTCGCTGTCCTTTATAACCAGGCCGGATGAGGAAACCGTGGAAACTTTCTACTCGATCCTTGACTTTGCTAAAAACAAGAAGGATCCGGAGTACACTCTGGGAGCCACTGCGGTGGTGCACAGCTTCTGCAAACACCACGAGAACTGCGAAGAGAACCTGCGAGTGCAGCAGGTCATTAATCTCCTGGAGACCGAGTTCCTGACTCTGTACAATCTGTTCAAAGGAGACCGACGCCACCGAGATCGTATGGTGGTGTTGCTCAAGGGATTGGGCAACGTTGGCGTGCTGTCGCCCCAGTTCGTCGAGCACCTGGAGTGGGTCATCCGTGATGGTGTGGCGCCGGTGGATATCCGCCTTCAGGCGATTCTTGGCCTTCCGCCGCGTGGACTGCCCGCGGTATAGGAACATCTTCCTAGAAAACTATGCCAACTACACCCTAAACTCGGAGCTGCGAATCTACAGCTACTTGCAGGCCATGAGGTGTCCGGATTACATATCGATTAGAGCCATTAAATCCGTGCTGGAGCAAGAGCAAATCAACCAGGTGGGCTCCTTTGTGTGGTCGCATCTGACCAATCTGGCCAAGTCCAACTCGCCGGTCCGCATTGAGGCTCAGGGCCTCCTGCTCAATGACGATCTGTCGGAGCGCTTCAAGATGGACATCCGCAAGTATTCCCGCAACTACGAGCACAGCTTGTTCTTCGACGAGTACAATTTCGGAACTACCACGGATGCCAACGTCATTTTCGGCACCGATTCGTACTTGCCGCGAGTCGCCAGCTTGAATTTCACGGCTGATCTCTTCGGCCAGTCTGTGAACTTTTTCGAGTTCACCGCCCGAGCCGAGGGCCTGGAGGAAATGGTGTCCAACGCCTTTGGGCCAAAGGGACCCCTGAACGGGGAGCTGTTGCGCAAGAAGCTCTCCTTCCTGAATCGCTGGCTTGGCAGCGAAAGTGCCGAGGAGGAAGACACCCTCGAGAACTTGCTGAGTCTGGATAACCTGCGCCTGAAGCGAAAGGCCCAGCAGTCGCAGGCCGCTCTTGAACTGGAGGAGGAGAACGAATACGACTACGAGGAGGAGCATAGAGACTCCCCACGTCCCAAGCGGGATGTCAGCTCCAGTCGCAAACAGGAAATCGATCGCAGCGTGGACAGCCTGGGCTACAAGCTGAAGTACGACTACAACAACCCGCGCGCCCAGTTTGGTCTGCGGATCTTTGGAAATGATCTGCGCTACTACAACATGGACTCGTTGGCGGAGGTGATGGCACTAACAGCCTACTTTGATCCCCTCAAGCAGGCCCAGAAGGTGCTCTCCGGCAAGGAATTCACGTACACCAAGTCGCAAGTTTTTCTGGATGCCTCATACACTGTGCCATTGGCTGTGGGTGTTCCACTGGCGATTCATGCCTTTGGAGCATCATCCGTGGACCTGCGTGTTAGTGGAAATGTGGACAAGACAGATCCGCCCACCGACTGGCACTTTGATGTGCAGGGCAGGTTCAAGCCCTCCGTTTCCGTGGACGTGATCACCACCATGCAGACGGACCTGTTCTGGGACCAGTCGGGCATCAAGGTGAAGAGCAATCTGTACTCGAACTCCGAAGTGGAGGCCAAGCTGAAGGTCCGCGGAAGGAATTTGGTGTCGTTCTCCTTCAACCTGCCCCAGGATCAGAATGAAATCTTCAGTGTGCGATCCGAGTTGCTGGTCCAGAAGAGTGAGGAGCAGGTGCCCCAGGCGGGAATCGCCAAGCGAAGTGCCAACTCCACCTGCACCTGGCCGGTTCTCGACCGCGCCATCGGCCTGCAGTGGTGCTCCCACTACAGCGTCCCCGATCTGAGCAATGCCACCGAGATATATCCGAGCCTGCTGCTTGCCGGACCATTGAACTTCAGTGTCATCCTCAAGAAATCGGATCTGAGTGCCAAGAAGTATGTGTTTGAGTACAAGTGGGACCAGGAAGAGCAGGACAACAAGTTTTCGCTAGTCTTCACGACACCTGGCTCCAAGGTTCCCAGAATTCTGGTGGCCAACGTGACCAAGGTGCCAGACGCCGTCAATGCATCCGTGGCGTTCGTCAACGGACCTACTCGTGTATCGGCCGGATGCAGCTATGATGGAAACCCGGACTTTAGGCGCCTGGACGTCTATCTGGACACGAACGGTAACAGATCGCTGGACCTGGGAATGGAGCTGCGCAGGCAGCAGGACTTCACCGCCTGGATCTACAGTCCTCGGATGCTGTTGGCCATCAATGGGGTCAACATTACCGGACTGGCTGGCACCGTAAAGGTCAACGAGAAGAGTGGCATCAAGCAACACGACGTGGATCTGTCCTTTGAGACCAAAAAGCTGCAGGCCATTATCAAGGGCAACATTGTCCAAACCGAGATTACAACCTCCACCAATATGACCGTGAAATACAGGGTAAGGATTACTTTCTTCACATTTTCGATTAAATATTTATGTTCCACACCTTTCTGCTTTAGTTCCAATCAAACAAGATCGAGGAGATCAACTTTGCCGGCAAGCTGGTGAACAACGGCGACCAATCCAAGACCGAATACCGTGGAAACATGAAGCTCCAGACATCAGCTTATCCCAAGCTGAACTTCGCCTCGGAGGCCTCGTGGTTGAGCTTGCAGGGACACACTGAGGGAATGATCACCTACAACAATGCTCCGGACTACATGAATCCCAACTATACCAGTCTCCTCCGAATGGTCTTTGCCCGTTCCCAGTCCGAGGATCTCATCTGGGAGGGTGCCCGCACTCGTGCCAGTCTGGAACTGAAACTTCCCAGGTCTAAGATCGACTACCGCATCATGGTCAAGTGAGTAGTGCTGGGATCTCGTGATGAATTGTATATGAAGAGGTATTTTTTAAGGCACGAGGAGCGTAGCAAGAACGGATCGGAGCACAATGTAATCGTGGGTCTGAAGTACGCTCCAGACAAGGAGATTACCGGTCTGTTCTCCGTCCACTTGCCGCGAAGAACCCTCTTTGCTGTCGATGCGTACATGAATGTCACAGTGCCGGACTTTAATTCTTGTACAGCCAGCGTTAAGGTCAACGAAAAAGCCACCAAGGATTACATTGTAGGTCCAACTCTTTTATGTCCCTTCTTCAAACTAACTGATTCCACTCCCAGATCTTTATCAATGGCTCTTGGTTTACGGGTCACTCTGTTGCCGTTAAAGCCAACTACAAGGACCGCAGTTCCCGGGTCCAGGCCCTGCACCATCTCAAGATGATTGTGGAGAGCCCCTCGTTTAATACAACCTCCTTGAACATCGTCTACCGTCGCAACCAGTTGATCATTTTCTACGATCTACAAGCTAAGTACGGCAAGGACCCCTACGGGCTGACGATACAATATGCCTCCAACGCACACAACCGCAACTCCAACGCAGAGGTAAGATTAAAGGTTAAGGAACGCGACTACTGGATCAACGCCAAGCTGTTGGCCGAGCAGCCCAAGCTCCTGCAGTTCGAAGTCCACATAGACAAGTAAGTTGGAGGAAGCTGTCTGAAATAGTCCTGATTATATAACATAAACCTTCCAGAATTCGGGACGTCCACATCAAGGTGGGCCTCCTAAACGTGGATAAGCGCAAGGAGCTTTCTTTGGAACTGAAGTGGGATGCCAACCGCGATCCCAGCCAGAGACTGGGACTGCTGGCGGAGTACAATAACCCGGGAACGAAGCACTACGACGCCAATGTCATGGTCACCTACCCGGAGCGCACCATTAACTTTGGCTTTAACACTTTTACCGGAGGCCCGAAGTACTCTGGCAAGGCTCATGCCTCTTGGAGCATCACTGAGATCATCGAGTTCGAGTACGAGGCGGGCCTCATTCCCGGAAAAACGCTCCACAATTGGGTGAAGGCCGAGCTGCGAACGCCGTTCGAGGGATGGCGAACCAACAGTCTGGATGCCGGAATATACAACCTGAACAACCTGATCCTGGTCAACTCGACCCTCTTCTGGGCCAATGACCAGCGACTGCAGGTGGGCTACAAGAGCGACTACGACATCAAGGACCAGTTGATTAGCTTTGACGTGCGCTTCGGCATCAACAGCACCATCCGGGACATTCCCACAATCAATGTGAAGGCTGTCCACTGGCAGGACGCCAAGAAGGTGGACACGGAGCTGTACCTGGGGTACAGTGGCCAGAACGAAACATACAACACGTACAGTGTGGACTCTAGCTGGGAGATTGAGAAGACCAAGCACTACCAAAACGTCTCCGGTCTGGTGCACCTGGTCAGTCCTTTCAAGGATTACGAAAAGGGCGGCCTGGTGGCCCGCTTCTCGCTCAGCGATAAGCAGGCGGTGGTCGGAGCAGCTTCTCTCAACTTCGACGTCCGTGAGTTCACCCTGATCATGGACGGCTATGTGAAGAAGTTCACGGATAATATGCTGACCATCAATATTACGACGCCGCTGGAGAAGTTCCCCACCATCAATGCTCGGTTCGGACTCAACGAAAAGAAACGCCATGCGGTGGCCGAGATCAGAGCCCCAACAGCCGCTCTGGGAGTGGAGGTCCTGGCCGACATCCGGAGCCTTCTGGACTTTGATGTCAAGCTCAGTGTGGCCACTCCCATTGAGGCCTTCCAGCAGGCGGCGCTGTTCGGTCTGGTCAATCCGGAGCACGTGGATCTGCGTGGATTGTGGAACAACGCCACCCTGGGATTCACTGGCGTGTGGCACATGCAGAACATCACGGACTTCGAGTACTCCTACCATGTCTTCACCCCCCTGGCTGGCTTCGAGGAGAACGGCTTCATTGCCCAGTTGCTGAAGCGCGAGGAGTTTGTCTTCCGGCTGCACGGCAAGCTGTCCAACTACCAGCTGGGAGTAAAGATCAATGGCAAGCCCAAGTCGGACCTTGTGAACCAACTCGGCAGCAACAAAATGGCGCTGGAGGTGCTCTACGATCCCGACTTCAAGCCCATAAATGTGGACACGAGCTACAAACCAGATCCGGATGAGGAGTACTTCTCGTACTACACCGACTTCCAGGTGGACACCCTGGCCTGGCCCACCATTGTGGGCAAGGTGGACATCCAGGAGATTATTGACTTCTATCTGGTGGTGGGCCACATCAACTTGCCCCAGGGTAAGGTGGAGTTCAAGGATCGGCTTCACTTCCCGGACTACATAAACGTCCACAATCTGCTGACTGTCTCCACGCCGTTCCCAGTTGCTAAGGACTTCAAGGCCATTGTGGAGTACCACGTCGACTTGAACTTTAACTCCTTCTACAACAGGCTTAAGTTTGCACTGAACAATGATCAGAATCAGCTCAAGGAGCTGGGCTTCGGCCTCAACTACACAAAGCTGCAGGATAATGTAAAGCCCAAGGCGCACGATGTCCAGCTGAAACTGATCACGCCGTACGAGCTTCTCCACGAGATTGACATTCACGGCCGCCTGGAACTGGATGACAATGCCTACAAGGGAAACATCACTTCGATCACGGCTCACACCCATCTGTCGATGTCCGCCTCTGTGGAGGTTTGTATATATCCTGAATGCATCCTGGACTTTATTTTCATAAAACTTTTGATTGCTTCAGCACGAGGACAACTTCCTGGAGACCTCTGTGGGAATTCTACTAGAGACCGACGTGATTCCGCACTATGCCTGCCAAGTCTACTTCAAGAAGGACTTTGCCGCCTTGGACAAGGCCATCGATATCCGCTTTGAAGTGACTGACAATGGCACTGTGAACCAGGTAAGGATACAATTTATACTATAGTTTTTAGAAAAAGCTAAACTCCTAACTCCCTAAACAGCTCCACATCCTGACAGACTGGCACACGGATCCGGCATACATCATAAATGCCAATGGCAAGATTCGCACTACGATGCTGCCTCTTCAGCAGGCCGCCACGTCTGTGCTGGTCACTGGAGGCCAGACTCCGCAGCTCAGCTTCGATGTGAACTTCCACAGCCAGGATGGCAAGGTCATTGCCTACGGAACCAGGGCCAACAAAAAGAAGGACGTGTTCAACGTCGAGGTGTGGACTCCCATTAAGAACTTCCGCAACATCTCCATGCACGGAACCATGACCAGAAACACACGCGATGCTGAGCGCTACGACATCTCCGGATTCCTGTACCGGAATATGGCTACTTACGGCATCACGGGAGCCGTGCGGATGTCCGACAAATTGCCCATCGATGCCACCTTGAGGGTTCAACCCAAGGCCGGCGGAAGGGATGGCGTAATCGAGTTGAATGTTCACGAGGCGGGACCGAAGAAGATCCGGTTCTCGTTCAGCGCTATCGAGGACGGCAAGATGTGCCAGATTTCCGGTGGATACAGCATCAGCGAGAGCAATAACGCCATGGACTTCTCGGTCCTCGTGGAAAGCACGGAGCCGGACATCTCACGAATCAATTTCTACGGCAGCTTGAAGCCCGGCCAACAGAAGTCACTGATTGGTGACCTCAACTTGGAGACTCCGTGGAAGGACCTGGGCATCGATTCGGTGCATCTCCACTCGGACGTGGGCATCGGAAGCAGTGGCGGAAAGATGTTGGGCGAGTACAAGATTGGCAAGTACGTGGGACGCGGCAGCTGCCTGTGGTCTTGGATCCTGGCGGAGAACCTGCAGCTGGTGCTGGAGAGTTACCTGGAGAGGCCTCAGGCGCAGCCCAGAATCGTGCACGCCAGTGCCAAGTACCTGAATCCGGGCCAGAAATACGATCAGCTTCAGACTGGAGGTCGTCTGAGCGTCGATTCCAAGTGGAATCTTGATGTGAACGGCAGTCTCCACTTCTTGTCCAAGGATGACTTTTACTTCGATGTTGTCGTGGAGCTGCCACTACCCGTGGGGGATCGCCATCAGCTGAAGGGAAGCTACCAGGGCAATGTGATCACCAAACAGTTCATAGCTCCCAACTTCACAATCGAAGCCAGCTATCTGGCCGCCAAGGCCCAGAACAAGCTCCTCTCCCACCTGTCTTACCGCAACGTGACCAACGATCTGGAGGGATTGGCTCACTTGGAGTGGGGAAAAACCCAGAATCTGTCCATAGTGCTGGGAAACTTTGCCCTGCGGAAGAAGGCTGAAGCGCGAAGGGAATTCTCGGCCAGGATGATCACGCCCAAGTTCAAGGGAGAAAACACCTTTGTCCTGACCGGTCACTACGACAAGGAAAACGCGGATTACCTGAACCTTGTCTGTGCTCTGGACTACCCAGAGAGTCGTCGCATCACCGATCTGGATGTTTCCTTCAACTCCCTGAACAACATGAAAGGAAACTTTAACAGCTCCACACCGTTCCTGAATGTTAGCTGGTTCAAGACGGAGTTCGAACTCACCACCAAAAAGTAGGTTACCCTTCAAAGCCCATAACTACCACAACCATAACTACTTACTCCTTTATCTCCTTTAGTGGCAAAAGCTACCGCTACTGCCGTGGCTTCTGGCCCCATGACACCGCCTACTTCAAGCTGAAGAGCACCTACGACAGCGACGGTACCGACACGAACCACAACCTCAACGGAAACGTGGAGGTGGATGTGCCCTTGTCCACCCGCCACCGGGCGGATATCGCCTACGGTCTGCGAAAGCGAAACGAGCAGGACACTGGCAACGTCAAGGTGGTCTACAATGAGCAGCAGGTCCTGGACGGTAAGTACAAGCGCGTCGAGCAGTTCAAGGACCCCATCTACAAGGAGACCACGGACATCACCCTGGAGAACGATCAGAAGCCACTTGGTATACACTACGTGAGCACCAGGGACTCGAGCGACCCCTCCGGCACGAAGGACGTGAAACACATCGAGGTCTACGAGCTAAGGAATACCCAGAACTTCAATCTGACGGGTGAACTGCATACCCGGTCCACGATCAAGGCGCAGGACTTCAAGGTGGTTGCCATCCACCCTAACCGGGCTGTGGTGCTGACCACCAAGTACGAGGACGTGAGTCCCCAAGTGGTTAGGCAGCATACCAAGCTGGAGCTGTCGGAGACTGCCTGGATTGGTTACAACCTGGAGCTTGGTAACTTCACCAAGGTAGGATAAATGCTAATGGTCACTGGTCACTTATTAATGTATTATCCTCTTCCTCACCAAGGTTGGCAACGAGTCGCAGAGCTTTGCTTTGGAGATCTTCTACCCGAAACGGAATCTGTCCTCCTCGGGCCAGTACTACCTGACCGACGACCACTTCAACTCGGATCTCTCCTTCCAATGGAATGGTGGTGACTCCGAGCTGCAGCCCAAGACGGTCCACAGCAATCTGCAGTGGACGACGGAGCCCCTGCGCCAGGGAGACAAGGAGCACCGCACCTTTGCCCTGACAGTGGCACATCCCATGTTGGAGAAGGACATCAACTGCAAGGCAACGTACTATCGCGGCTTGCAGGATCTGCTGCGGTCATACCTGTCCATCAACTACTCCGAAGATCCCGACCAGCTCATCGAACTGGGCGTGAAGCTAAGAGACCGATACACCGAATTCGGCCACACCAACTACACCTTCGAGGTGTTTGGCAAGCACCAGGCCTCCGAGCTGGACGTGCAGCTGAACGGCACTCTGGCGGCCAGGAACTCGTTCTACAAGACGGAGTCAACGGCCCACTACAAGCGCGAAATGTTTCCGGATCGCTACGGCAAGTTCCTGGCCAAGCTGGACCTCAACAAGAAGGGAGCTGGAGTACGAGCGCCAGTCACCATTCCACGCAGTTCGTCTGCACCTGCTGCCCACGATCAGGCATCCCGTTTACGGACTAAATGCCACCCTTTGGGACACCCCGAACACGAACCACACGGGCTACGTCTATGTGGATCTGGCGGAGCGCTTCGCCCGAATGGACTTCAACCTTACCGAGGACGCCAGCCAAAACCTGCAGATGGTGGGCTACATTCCGGACACTCGCAGCGGCTACCTGGACGTGTGGCGCAACTACGATGAAATCCGTTTGGTCGACATTAGCTCCTATGTGAAGATGAACCATTCCAGGCTCATTACGGGCCGCTTCCACTGGCGTCCGTCCATCAAGCAGGAGCTCCGCGACAAGGTCACTTCCGTGGGCAACTCCGTGTACAGCTCCTTCTCGGAGGGCATCGACTTCTGGGTCAAGTCGATCTACACCGAGACCACGGAGTCCATGGGCGTGGTGTGGAACAACGTCAAGAAGTACAACAGCGAGTTCATCGACGACATTGGCCAGCTGAGCGTCTTGGAGGAGGACCTTAACGACCTGAGACTGTTTGTGAATCAGTCGTACGAGGCCAATGACTTCTACATCAAAAACGTGGTGAACTTCACGCTGACCATCCTGGACGAGCTGGCCATCAGGGACCACATCGAGTCGCTGCCCAAGATCTTCTCGGAGCTGTGGCAAGCCATGGGCGACTCCGGCAAAGCCCTGCGCGAGAGCATCGTCTGGCTGATCGACACCATCAAGTCCACCTACAACAATCTTCTGGAGGCGGTGAGCCGATTCTTCCACGGCGAGAGTCTGGCCTACATATCCGCTCTGCTGGAGAAGGGCATCACGAAGTACGACAGTTTCGTCAAGGAGCTGCACATCAAGTTCATCAAGTACATTGAGAATCTGTGGCACAAGACCTGGAGGGTGCTGGAGAACCAGTGGAAGAGCGTGCTGAAGAAGTTCGAGCCGCACCTCTTCAAGATGATCAGTTTCGTTGAGACCAACGCCTGGAATCTCAGCAAGGAGGTCTTCGACTTCATCTACAAGCGCACCAACGAGCTGGCCGAGTCCCCGTACTTCAACAAGGTGTCCAGCTTCACGGCGGACGCAGAGCGCCTGTACCGGGACGTCAAGTCCAACGATGCCATCACCAACATTAAGAAATACTCGACGCTGGCCTGGAACTTTGTGAAAGAGAAGTACTTTAAGCTGGTGCCCTTCGGCGCCGAGCTGAACGAGGTGCTCACCGAAATCTGGCAGGAAATCAAGCAGCTCGAGAAGATTGAGCAGGTGCAGATCATGGTGCAAAAGTACAACGAAGTACTGGCGAAGATCGAGTGGGTGTCCGAGGAGCTGCAGCTGGAGCACCGCCTGCACCAGGTCTATCACCTCCTGAGCAACAAGTTCCGCAACTACGCCATGAACGCTCTGGAAACAGCCGACATGTACCGCGAGGCCAAGACCAAGTTCATCTTCGATCCGGAAGTGGGCATCATCGATCTGGAGCAGAAGCTGCCCATGTCCTGGCATGCCTTTAACGAGACACCCAAATTCGAGGAGATACCCGAGTACCAGGTGCTGGCCAAGGCGCAGAGCTTCTTCAGCGAGACCAACTCCTCCATTGTCATGAAGCTGTACAACATGAGAGCCCACTTGGATCCCAAGACGTGGCTGCCACCTTACTACTGTGAGTAAACTACATTATGGAATGTTTTGGATGTTTCTTTATATTTTCCCTCTGCAGCTCGTGCCCTCCTGATCGACTCCCGCCACTACATGACCTTCGATCAGCGCTATGTGGGCCTGAACCTTAACTTTGAGGAGTTCGGCAGTGGACGGTCCAGTCCCCACTGCAGCTATCTTTTGGCTCACGATTTCTTTAAGCGCAACTTCACCTTGATCTTGGAGCCAGCGGTGGGTTTTTAAAGAAAGCTATAGAGTTTCTCATTCAACTAATAATTTTCATTACTTCGCAGACCAAATCCCTGGCTGGCCAAGGACTCACCCGCAAGTTGAGCTTCATAGCCAACGGACAGCTCATTGAAATCGATTTGGAAACAGATGTATGCTACTAACTCTTCATTTGTTTCATATTGAATACATTTTACGATTATTTTCCAGCACATAACCTTCAATGGCAATCCTCAACCCATCCTGCCGCTGAAGCTGGGTCCCGTGGAGATCCACCGTGACCTGGACGTCCTCTCCATCACCTCGGACACCCAGTTCAGTCTGCACTGCAACGTTCAGTTCGATCTCTGCTGGTTCGAGGTCAGCGGCTGGTACTTTGCTAGAACCGCCGGTCTCCTGGGAACCCTGAACAACGAGCCCTCCGACGAGTACACCATGTCCAACAGCTTGATTGCCAACGACACCCAGGAGTTCACGGACTCGTGGAGCCTCAAGAAGTGCCGCCAAACGGAGTTGGCCAAGAAGCAGGAGATCAGCAAGGATGTTAGCGACACCTGCACCAGCTTCTTCCGCACTGGCATTCTGGCCAGCTGCAGTGCTGTCTTGGATCCCACGCCCTTCTACGAGATGTGTCTGGATCTGGGCATGAAGTCGCCACCCATTCGCCAAGGACATCCGGCTGTCAAGGGCGCCTGTGCCGCTGCCTTGGCTTACATCGAGGCGTGTACGGCGTTGAAGGTGCCCATGAGGGTGCCATCGCAGTGTGTGTTGTAAGTGGGAATTCCTTACAAGAAGTAACTATGTTAGACTGATCCATTGATCCCTCTTATTTAAGCTGCCAACTGGCCAATTCCTCATATGTGTCCGAGGGCACTTTCATCGAGCTGACTGGCGACGCTGTGCCCAAGAGCAGCGATGTGGTCTTCATTGTGGAAGCCAAGGACTGCAACGCCAATCTCAGCTCATCGAAGAGCATCATGACAGTGGTTAGCAGCATCGAAGAGCAACTGCAAGCCGCCAAGTTGACAAACAACAGGTGGGTTCTTCCTGTTAAATACTTCCCACAATCTCCTTTAACCCCTTCCATTTTTCGTCCTCCAGGTACGCTGTCCTGGCCTTTGGTGGAGTGGCTCCCTACGACAAGCCGAGGAGCATTATTTACCAACACAACGAGTTCACCTCGAAGCCGGAACAGTTGGCGGATTACTTTGCGCACATCAACACCGGAAATGGCAGCAGCAGCGATATCCTGATGGCTATTTCCGCGGCTGCCAAACTAAACTTCCGTCCCGGGGTATCCAAGACCTTTGTCCTTCTCTCCTGCAGCAAGTGCGCGGCCAAGGACATGCGCTTCGACTACACGTCCATTCTGCAATACATGCTGGAGGAGGGTATCCGGCTGCACATCCTCGCCGACACTGTGTTCGACTTTGAGCGGGAGCACAAGCTGCGTCACTTCTTCGGCCTGGATCGCAACATGATCTACTCGAAGCGGTTCCCCGAAGGCGATGTGACAACGCGCCTCCAGACGCACATCCCCAAGAGCAATCTGGGCATCTGCACTCCGCTGGCCGTGGAGACGGAGGGATCTGTGTTCAGTGCCCGTAAGCTGCAGCCGGACCGCAAGAATCCCATCAAGCGATTCGCCACCATCTTCGCCAAGCGCGTTGCCCAGACTGCCACGCCCATCGCCAGTCAGACGTGCGAGTGCTCCGCCCACAATACGGGTGTCTCCTACATGGCCTGCTCGCCGCAGGCTTTGCCGGAGGAGAAGGGCGATGGAATCGATGATTATGTGAGTAGCTCCCTTCGATTAATTCTTTAACTTTTATTAATAATCTGGTTTTACTTTAAAGGACACCTTCAACGACTGGGACTGGGATGAAGAGCCGTAAGACCCAGAGAGAGGATGGATTGGCGTTTAGCTCTTAAAACTCCAAACTTAGTTAGCTAGTTCAGTTATGTCCCTGCAGAATATAAGGTTTTTCTAATCCATAATCAGATATGTTTTTGTAAAAATAAATGACCATGTAAAGCCAAAGAAAGATCGCACTTCGATTCATGATCTCGGGGTTAACTAGCGACACGCCCGACCAGTTTTCGGCTTCCTACTTATTGTTTGCTCCAATCTCGGCCTCCGATTAAAAGTTGTCTGACTGCCTGCGGCGACTGCTGCTTGTTGCAAGTTGCTCGTTGCAATTGGCAAGTGGCACGTTGCTGGCTGCCAGCTGCTTAAGTCCAACTATGACTATCACTTTTTCCATGGCCACGGTTGACGGAAGTAGGTGCAGAACTCAAGTACGTGTAACAACCTTAACCCTAAAGCGAGCGAGATGGAATGGACCATGTCCAGAGCCCAGAGTCCAGCACCTCAGACCGTTCACCCAATCCACTTGATACCCAGTTGAACCCAATTTTGTTGATATAACGTTTCCCTGGAAAGGTGCACCGCACAATGGGAGTTATGCGAGCCGAGTGGTAATGCAATACTTTCTATTTCAATGCTATGGTTACATCAACCTGGCCCAGTCCTAGGCCCAATTGCGAATCTTTCACTTTCGGGGACTGGGGGCCTGGGACTATAAAAGCCGCTGAACCGATGGCAGCCACTCGCATTTTCCCAGCGAGATCCGTTTCGGTTAGGTGGAGACCAGGTACAATAATGTGGAGATTCGTAAGTGCAGGGCAGTGGAAACCATAGCTTGGACTTCATCCTCCTAATAATCCCTTTCCGCAGCTACTGATCTGTAGCATTCAGCTGATTTGCGCCTCCGAACACAGCGGCGAAGGCTTTGGCGGAGGAGGTGATGGCCACTACGGAGGAAGTGGCAGTGGAGGCAGCGGCAGTGGAGGCGACTTCCATCACCACACGCCCACCACATATTCGGAGATCTCCAAGCATGTGCCCGTTCACGTGATCGAGAAGGTGCCACTACCCATTCCGCATCCCGTGGCCGTCCAGGTGCCCAACGTAATCCGACTACAAATCCCAGAGCCCTACGCCGTTCATGTTCCTGTCCAGCAAGAGATCCAAATACCAGTCTACAAAATAGTTCCGGAGATCACAGAGAAGAAAATCCCCTACACAGTGGAGAAACCATACCCGGTGGAGGTGGAGAAGCCGTATCCCGTTGAGGTGATCAAGCAGATCAAGATCCCGGTGCCGAAACCCTATCCGGTTCCTATCACCATCTACAAGCATGTCCTGCAAAAGGAGCACGGCTGGTAGTGGCTCTAATGGGTATATATTTTAGCCTTGTAAGTATTTGGATGCCAGCTCTAGATCGAAGAGTATTATCTTAAAGAGTTACTAATAAAAAAAAATGATTTTAAGTTTAAAAGTGAAAGGTTTCTTTATCCGATAATCCTCCTAAAAAGCTTTAAGGATGTTAAAAAGCTTTAAGGACCTTCTCCTACATGTAAAACTATATCCTATATCCTGGAATCAAACCAGTAAAAGATTCTTGAAAGCTCTCGGGAAAAGCTAAGGTTCTACGGTTCTAAACCCCCAAAAGGAGGTTGAGCTTTTTTGGAACACTCGTTTTTTCACAAAGTGCCTCAAAGTGCGTATACACACATTCACCGGGATGGCACCCATACACTCGCAGGTGACACCATTACACAGACACATCGATAAGGACTCTTATACCTCGCAGGTTCGTTAAACTTTTGCGAATAGATTGACGTTCTGCGGTGGAAATGGAAGTGTGGGGGGACAGGATTACCTCAAACCGATGACGTGCGCACACTCAACCCTCACCCCACCCATATATACACCCTTGGATGGAGAAAAAAAAAAAACTACCCTTCGCACCTGGTCATGTGTTGCTACGTTTTATATCCTGCATGTCCTTGAAGGAGACAAACACTGGACGTGTAGGGAATTTTTCCGCGATTGTTGTGCCCCGGCAATCAATGATTTCCATTTGTTGCACACTGGTGGTGAAGTCATTCGCCCAACTGTTCCATCAGTCAGTTAGCCCTTTAGTCAGTCAGTCAGTCATTCAGTCATTCTGTTAGTCAGTCAGTCATTTAGTCAATCAAGCCCAGCTGCCACAAATTATTTATGCACAACTTGTAGCGCCACACGCACTCGCCTGGCGAGTAAAATGTATCCAAAGGATGTGGCTCCGACTCCCAGTTATGTGGGAGTACAATGTGTTTGTCTACGTGTCGGGAACTTTAATTTGATTCACATCCAAGCCAGCAAGCCAGCTGGAATAGTTTATTCATTTGTTCTTCCCCAGCTCAGTCGTGGCTCCATTTTTAGCCGCCATGTTGCCAAGTTTTCCTCCCAAAACAAACGAAAGCCAATTGAAAATTTCTGAAATTACTGCATCGAGTCAAACTTTCTCGTAATTACATTTTCCCACTTCCACTCCCACTCCGGAAAACTTGATTTTACATCGAAAAGTAAGTTGTAGGGTGGGCGCTAGTTAATTAATTATGAAAATATTCAAAGTTTGGCCTTTGGCCTCATCGGATAAAATTCCATTTTGTTTTCACCTGAAAATAATGGCCCCAAATGCAATTTGATTTGTGTTCTTTTGTATTGGACATTGTGGATAATGTCATTCATCAAATGATTTGGAAAATTTGGTAATTGCACAGCCCAGTAAAGCGACGATAATTGATGGATTCATGTGTGCGTTTTCGTTTGCGGTTCTGATGACCATTAGGGCAGGTCGTCCTGCCTGAAATGTGCATGCCCCGGGAATTGGTAGTTACATTTCCAATCGACTACAGAATGTGATTGTACGATTGCAGGTCCAATTCAAAATGAGTTGTTTTCTGTTTTGGCAAACAATTAATGGCATTATTATTTATCCTGTCATTATTATTGTATCATTGAATTCGTGTCACAATCCCAGCCTAGCTCTGATATCCGCCCCTGCGATTACCACTTTCTCAAGCCACATGTGGCAATTGAATTTATCTGGCCTAAGCCCAGGCCATAATATGTAAAAGCCAAGCCTCAATTCCTGGTGTACTACGCCCCCGCCAATCCCCGCTGGCCTCTAGTCAATCGATTGGCACATAAAATGCAAATTAAATTGTCGGAACATTTGGTATTACAGCAGCCAAAGCTCTCAGCCAATGAGCTTAGCCAAAGTCTGGCAAACAAATTTACAATGCTAAGCTCATGTGGAGCTACGGGGGAATACTGCCTGGCTGGCAGGATAACACACAGATGTACTGGTAACTGGGATCCGACGAAAGGGGAAACTTTTTGCCAGAACAGGCCAGGCCAGGCCAGGCCAGGCCGAGTAGGGCCAAATGCGATTCGTGGAATTAATTTAAGTTAATTGATTTTCTGCCAGAAGCTTTGCACGTGCAAGACTTTCTCACAGACAGTTGAAGAGAACTCTATAGAAATCGAGGCAATCGAGAAGGAAACGGAAATCGAGGCCCGACCAGCCTGGAGGGCGCGGGGAGGTGGCTAAGGACGAGGGCGGAAATTGACAACTGCCTCGAGTGTTGAGTCGTAAGGGAAATACATTTCCATGTCCCATTCAAACATTGGCGCTCGTCCGTTCCCATTGAAACATCATACTATGTGTGACAGGTAGACGACGTGGCCCCTGATAGATGTTCTTCTAGGATCTAGAACCATTTCCCCAGCCAGTTTATATTCTATAAATAGATCGGCCCAGTCTCCTCCTTCTTGGGTGACTAAAACCTAGGGTATTATTAACGCCAAATTAATCAATTGCCCATCGATTCGAGTTGCCTTCACAATATTGTTATTTTTAAGCATTTCAAAGGCTGCACTCGCAGGAAAACATAGCCAGCTGGCTTTCCAAGGAACTAATGAAGTGTGAAGTGGTGTGGATGCCTAGAGTCCTTTGATGGGTGTTGGGTGGCCCCTAAACAGGATATGCGAGAAATTTCCTTTAGCGAAATTATTGATTGTTGGCTAAAAAAGTTCCTGAGAATGTGGATACTACTCATACAGCGCCCAGAACTGTCATTATCGGTAATGAGCTCACGGTAATGTTTGTTATTCCATTGAATATCGGCGAGGAAGGGGGCAAGGACTAAAAATAGCCTTCTTTTGAAAGCCAAAGAATCAAAAGTGTAAGCATTAAAAATATGAATCAATGGCAAAACACAAAGCCAAAGCCAATTTCCCATCCCACTTTGGATTTTTTTGGCTAAGTCCCCCGAAGAAAGTGGAATTGAATGGTGAAGAGGAGCCGCACTAAAGTCATAAAAGTCGCGTGGACCAAATTAGGAAGAATTCTCTGCTGTTTGTGAAGGAAAACGAAAGGAAGGAATGCCCCTGTCATGGCCCCTTTGGCCACCACTCTCCTGGTATTTTATGTGCACAACAATTTTAAATGACTTTGAGGAGGCGACCCAAGACACACACATATACACACACTTGCACAGATACAGAAACTCTCTCAAACACACACACACACGCACATACAAACAGGAGCAGCACCCGAAAGTAACAGATAAGATTAGAAGCCCAAGCCAGTGACAACAGGCGTCGTCAAGATGGCGCTCCACGCCCACATTGCGTATGCGCGTTCAGCTGCACTGTGAGAAAATGGGGGAGAATAGGAGATTTTATAACTGGCCAGGTATTGCCAGGTTTTTCTACTAAAATAATGTTTTCCGTTTAATAATATTAATATAATATTTTTAATAATATTACAAATATTTCTTAAAATATTAAACCTTTTATAGCCGGTACCTTAGCACAGTGTTTACTTTTAAATAATATCAATTATTAGTATGATATAATAAAAGTATATTTTTAATAAAATACCTCCTTTTGGTCAAATTCTTTCAATTGTTTTATTCTTAAACAATTTTTTATAAACTTTAACCAAAAAATTACCTTTAAATCTCAATATTTCCAAGTAAGTAAATATTTTTCTTTAAAAACCTTTGTATATTTTAATTTTAACAGAACACCTTTTATAATTTCTCCCAGTGCCAGCCGTAAGCGAGTCAAGGTTAAGCTCCAAAATCGCTCGAAACGAAACGAACCTCAGCCATCAAAGGCAGCAATGTTTTCCCTCTTTTCTCTTTTATTTTTCGCCTTTTTCCTTTTCGCTTTCTTTTGCCCCTTCACCTTCTTGGCGCCCGCCACCTGCCACCTACCACCCACCACCCTCTGCCCGGCTTCCCTTGATTTTATGTAGCTGTTTTTGTTTTGTTTCGGATGCTGCGCGTGGCAGGGAAAACAGCTGGCTGGCTCGTAATGATTACGGGACTTTTATGGCAGAGCCAACGCTGCACACAAAGCCCCCGAAAAAAAGGGTCCCCCCGGAAAGAAAGAGAGAGAGCGGGAGCGGAAGAGACGAAAGGAGCTACCTGGAAACCGCCCACGATGGCAGCCCTTCGCCCATTCCCTACGCCTACTGCCACCCCGCACTCTATCATTCGCACATCGTTGGACAAAGTTCGGAAGCGTTTATTGGAACGCCGCCCCGCCCACTGTCACTCCCCCATCTCAGGCGGCCAGCCAGATGGAATAAAGTTAAGCGATTATGAGCACAGCCTAGAAGTAGGCAACTTTTTTCGCAGCCAAAGGTGAAGAAAAGGGTGGGTGGGATGTAGTATTAAAATAAATATATGTACATCATAAAAAGTAATGCACGAAATGTAAAATAAAACGCTTAACTTGGCTAAATCCTAAGGAAACCGTTTCCGCAACTCAGAGTAGGTAGTAGGTGATGGAACTTTAATGTGGTGAAGATTTCAGTGGCATGTGGCAAGTGGAATGCGGATAGTTGACTCCCATAACCCGCATTGTTGGGGCAAGATTTATGGCTTTAAGTCGTGCTTATGGTGTCGCAAAAGGTTTTGTTTTCGTATGCCATTCCATTTCACATTTTGTCTACCGTGAATCTGGCGCCACCTTGCCAGTGTCCTGTCTATTGCCAGAAATGTGTCTTATGGCCCTCACCCATCCTGGCACCCATCCATCCGTATATACCATCCTTGTGGCATTGGACGCTTTTAGGTTGCGTGCAAAAATAGCCAAAAATAAAAATATGAATGAGAAAATGTTTGTGCAGAGGCGCATAAATCAAAAGAACACAAACACCATAACACCCACACCTCAAGCCGTATATTTTATGGTCTATATGGAGTGTATATACCATATATAGTGTACTTGATGGCTTTGCATTTGGCAAACTATTTAAATATTATTCCAAATGAAGGGCACAACGAAGCAAACCGCATTCCAAGGTCCTTTGCTCCGAAGTGCGTTGTTATCATTCGGA